GTGCAAGCCCTAAAAAATGTACATACCATTTATTCTAGGTATGTTATTTCTGAGAATATATTCCAAGAAAATAATTAAGGATATTTACTTCAGAGTTTGGCACAACAGTGAAAATCTCTGAAAACAATCGAAATGTCCAGTAATAGAGGAACAACTAACTAAACTGTCTTCTATTTATATAGTAAAATATCATAAAGAAATTTAAAATGATATAAAAATGTATCTCAGCAGGAAGTTGTATATGAAATTCAGTGAACAATATATGTTATAAAACAGCACTGACACAATAACATTTTTGTTAAAAAAATTTTTTTGAGGCGGAATCACAAAAATCTGGGGGGAGGGGCCAAGATGGCAGAAAAGCATGGGAGTTTTTTTTGCATCTCTCATCCCTGAAATGCAGCCAAATCAACCATTAACCATCTTGCACACCTAGAAAACTGATTTGAGGATTAACACAACAATCTGCACAACCTGAACCACAGAACTGCAAGGTATGCAGTGCAGAGAGGTAAAATGGAGGAGAGAGAAACCACCAAGGGCAGGGAGCTGTTTTTGCTGGCAGAGAGAACACAAAGACAGGGGGAGAGTATGGGAAAAGCACCCCCCTCCAAAAGCAGCTGCAGAGAAAAAGGAAGAGTGGAAACAGCCACAAGGGTCTAAACAAAAAAGGGAGAAAGGAGAGGGCTTAAATTCCATTAAGACTCTAAACAGCAGGAGTGCAGAGTCTGAAACTTCATAGCTGGATACCTGGTGGAGCTCTGGTGGGAAGAGTGAATCCCCAGGAGCAGAGTGAGGTCCAAGGGGTCCTCAGGCCACACGAGGAGAGGCGGTTCCCCTTCTGGGAGGACATTTGGTAGAGGCTGTGCAGCCTCCCCACAGGCAAAGGTCCCAAAGGACCCCAGAGAATAACCACATTCCCTGGTGCTGGAACAAGGTCATTAAGGATGAAGCCTGGTGCCAGATGTGTGTTGTTATTTACCATAATCCCTAAAACACTGCTGCTACACAATCACGCAAACTTTCTGGGATGGGCTGGCACCCAGCTGCAGTCTCTGGGCATCGACAGCAGCACAGTCTGTAGAACATTCCTAGGAGCAGGCTGGAACCCAGGCATTGCTCAGCGAGACCCTCCCCCAGAGGGTCTGAGCAGGTCAAAGCTGCAGTCCCTTAGAAGTGAGGTGTTGGGAAACACAGCCCCATCTGAGATAAAACTCAGGAGGGAGGTGCCACCTAGCAGCCTGACGGCTTGGTCATGGACAGTGTAGAAGTGGGGAGTGGACAGAATCCCTAGTCAAAGGAGGGATGCTTGATTGCTAGTTGGGGAGAAATGGGTGATGCCATTTTCACCCCACACGCCTGCACACACCACAACAATCCACCCCAGTAAGGCAAGCAGCGCCATCTAGTGGAGAACAGAGTCATTCACTAAGCCCCACCTAACTAGGCCAACCGTGCTCTTCAGGAACACAAGTCTCTCCACCAGCTTAGTTTACAGATTATAAAGTGCTTCATCGTTTGACTTCTACAGGAAACCAGATGTAATTTCAACAGTATTTTATTCTGTTCGCTGGCCCTTTTATTCAATTTTTTTTCTTTTCTTGAATACAAGAGAAAGAACTTATTTTCCATTTTTATTAAAAATATTTTTAGGGGCGCCTGGGTGGCGCAGTCGGTTAAGCGTCCGACTTCAGCCAGGTCACGATCTCGCGGTCCGTGAGTTCGAGCCCCGCGTCGGGCTCTGGGCTGATGGCTCAGAGCCTGGAGCCTGTTTCCGATTCTGTGTCTCCCTCTCTCTCTGCCCCTCCCCCGTTCATGCTCTGTCT